AGTGGCATGACTGCAAATTGGTGCTGGCAGTTGGCAAAAGTTTCAGTTCCTTAACTTGTGCACCTCTCTGTCAGTCTGCTTGAGTGTGTTCATGACATGGTAGCTTGCTTCCTCCAGAGCAAGCTATCCAAAAGGGTAAAGCAGAGCTGCAATGTCTTTTTTGAACTAACCTCATAAGTCACACACTGTCACTTTCTATTGGACACATGGACAAGCCATGATTCACTGTGTGGGAGAGTACTACACAAGGGTATGAATATCAGGTGGTGAGGATCATTGGGAGCCATCTTGGAGAATGGCTACCTCAGTGAGCTTGGTCTATGGAGGGTCTTTGGAGGCCATCTTGGAGACTGGCTACCACAGTGAGCTTGGTCTATAGAGGATCACTGGGAGCCATCTTGGAGTCTGGCTACCACAGTGAGCTTTGTCTATAATTTTCTTTTCTTGAACTGACCTTGTTTGGTTAGTATCAAGAATATACCAGCCTCATAAAATAAGTCAGATTAACTTACCTGGTTTTCAATTCTCTGAAGTAGTTCTTTGATAGTTCAGTAAAGTCTTCCTGTAAAACCAGTGTCTTTTGAAGGGAGAGATGTTTGATTAATTATACAACTATTATTGATTAATTCGAACTTTCTTCTTCCTCTTCAGTGAAGTCTGATGATTCATATTTTCTTAAAAAAGTAGCTATTTCCTCTACGTTATCAATGTCATCGTCATGAAGTTGTTCTTATCATTCTCTAATTATTATTTTAAATCTTTACCTTATTTCTAGTTATGCGCATTTTTTTTCTAATATCATTTATTTATAACTTTCCTTTTTTTCCCCTTGGTCAGTCTTTCTAGAAGTTTGTCTGTTTTGTTAATTTTTTTTTTCAATGAACCACCTTTTGGTTTTTGTTTATTTTCTAATTCACTAACTTTCATTATTTTTATTATTCTTTTCGTCCTACTTTTCTTGGAGTTTCTCTGTTGTACTTTTTCTAGTTCCTTGTATTTAATGCTTAATTAATTCATTTTAAATCTTTCTTGTTTGCAATAAATACCTTAAAAATTAGAATTATTTTTGCTTTATCCCACAGTTTTTGACTCATAGTACTTTTGGTTATTTCCATCACGATATCTTTTTTAACTTATTTATTTAAGAGTGACTTCTTACGGTTCTATGCATAAGGGAGATTTAATGCTATTTTTATTATGAATTCTTAATTTACTTGTTTTGGGGTCAGACAACACAATTTGCATGATACTGACTAAAGTCCTCTTTCACCTGATATGTGGTGAATGTTTCATAAGTGTTCCATGCATACTTTATTTCCTTTTTTTTCCTTGCATACTTTAAACAATGCATGTTCTGAACTTGTTGAGCAAATTATTGTTGCTATTAGCTGCTCTCCAGCTGGCTCTGATTCCTGGCAATCTTACGTATATCAGAACGAAACATCGCCCAGTCCTTTGTCATCTTCATGATCATTGGTATGTTTGAGCCCATTGTTTTGGTTATTGTGTCAATTCATCTCATGAGGTTAAGCTTAATAATTTTGAGGTGAAAATCGTCTATACATTTACTATATTTTTGCCTACTAGATTTATCAGTTTCTATAGAGTTGTGTTGAAATCTCTCGTTACGGAA